CTGAAGTCCAAAAGTCGAGTCTGGATCCAATGTCACCAAGCTCTCTCTCTCTTCTCTCGTAGTCTGCTGATGCAGTGAAGTCAGATGATGAGAGGGTGAGAGGGAGATGGTGGACTGAGAAGAGGAAGAAGAGGAACTCTCTCTCTCTGTTACGAGCCAGGAACTAACCTGTGATGTTGGCGCTGTGCTGCAGGTACCTCGAAGACGAAGCTGGAGCAACGGCGCTGCAGGTAAGTACCTCTGGCCTCCGCCCAACCTCTCTCTCTCTCTAGTGCTATCCTAGCTATGGCGCCCAGCGGTGGAGACTACAGCTACCTACTGCGTCCAGCGCTGAAGACTAAAGGCTAACGCTACTACTACTCCCTGCAGCGCTCCCTCCAGAGTGCTGCGGCTGAATCCTGAAGACTACTGCCTCCTGCCTGCCCGTGAAGTGCATGGGAAGTCCCTTTGTACTACCTCGGCCTGCCTCTTTACTTCCTGAAGGGCGAGCCAGGCCGAGGAGGCTGCTCTTGCCAATGCCGAAGTGTGCCAGGGGCTGGAGCTGCAGCCTCTGCTGAGGCTGGCCGTGCCTGAGTTTCAGGGCCGGTTGTTCTGATGAACGACCGAAAATGGCCCTTCGTTTCAGGCTAAAAAGGCTATTGCCACTTTTAGTCTGAAACGACATAGGGACGGTAGGCCCCTGTTTTCAGGCTTTCGGGCTGAACAGTCACGGGGCCTGTAGGCCCTGGTTTTCAGGCTTTTACCCCGAATTTCAGGCTTTCAGCCTGAAGGACGCAGGGCCTGGAAAATGGCCCTCGTGTGCAGGCGCAGCATGTAACATACCCCCCTCTTTATGAAGTCAAGCCGGGGCTAGGGCGGAGCCGACGATCTGAAGGTGGAACCTGGACGAGGGCGCGGCGTGGAGCCGAAGAGACCGGCTTGCCTTGCATCTTGCGTTCGTAGCGTGCGAGAACGTCTGGAGCTGTTGCTTGAACTTCCGGACGGGTCAACCAACGGTCAGCTCGGTGTGTGCAGTATGCAAAATGCACCAAATACTCGGTTGGCCTGTTGCCGTAGCGTCGCTGGGAGATAATGGCGCCGACCTCCTGAAAACCGTCCATGGAGGGTGGGTCTTGCGAACGTCTCCCGGGAAAATCGTCATGTTCCGCTGGCGTGTAAAGAGCCAACTTGGAGCAATAAAAGGCTGGGTAGACAGGCAAGTGACCGGGCACCTGAATCGTGAAGGAAGGTCCCTCGGGTGCGTCCCCAGCGGGTGCGACGATCGGCCAAGGCCCCATCCATTTCGGGAGGAGCTTGCGAGAGATGTCTTGTTCAAGGCTGAATTCCGCGGCGGAGACCCAAACGAGATCGCCAGCGTGGAATGGGCAAGGAAGATGCTGGTGATTGGCCTGCTGGCTCATGTGTTGCTGCGTCTTGGCCATCTGATCGCGTGCCTTGACAAGTACCTCTTGCATCTGAGGCAAGAAAAGAAGATGGTCGTCGCTCTCGGCCGTTCGTGGAGTGATAATGTCCAATGTCGAAGTGATCGGCGAGCCGTGCTCGAACTCAAAGGGCGACATCCCGGTAGTCGGGTGGATAGAGGAGTTGTAGGCCAACTCGACATCTGGCAGCCGCTCAACCCAGTCCTTCTGGTCGGGGCGGATGAGAGTGCGAAGGAGAACCTGTGCGGTTTGATGCACCCTCTCCGTCTGGCCATCGGTCTGAGGGTGGCGAGCTGAATTGGGCTTGAGAGATGAGCCCCATCGCTTGATGAGCGCCAACCAAAAATTGGACATGAACCGAGTGTCGCAGTCGCAGATAATTTCCTTGGGGTAACCCTTGGTTCGAATCCAACCGGCGTAGAGAACCTCGGCCAACTTCGGTGCCTTGGCATGATAGCGACAAGGCAAAAACATGGCGAACTTGGTGAGTCGGTCGACCACCGTGAGAATCCCATCTATTCCGGTCTTGTGCTTGGGGAACGGGCCGGTAATGTCCATGGCAATCGCTTCCCTTCGCCTCAACGGGACCAGTAATGGTCGTAACTCGCCGTACAGACGATGGTTGCAGGATTTGCAGCGTCGGCAAACCTCGTATGACTCGCAATAGCGTGTGATGTCGCCGAGAAGGCCGGGCCACCAAAATCGCTCGCGAAGTCGGCCAATCGTGCAATTGACTCCAAAGTGTCCGGTGGCGGGAGCATCGTGGAACTTGCCAAGAAGCCGTGTACGCAAGTGAGGATCACTTGGTACGCAAAGAAGGTCCTTCCCCCGCGTGTGGACAAGCAAGTACCCCTCTTGGATCTGGTAGTGAGAAGGCGCCGGATTAGGAGAGGAGCAATTCGCGTACTTGTCGCGAAACTCGGGGTCGGCTTGGTAGCCGCGGATGAAGCTGTTCCGCAGGTCATTGTCGATCTCGAAGGTTGAGTAGACCGCGGTACAATGATCCGGACGCCGTGAAAGAGCATCTGCAAAGCGGTTCGACTTCCCGGGAATGTGACCGGGAAAGCAGTCAAATTGGTCAATGAAAGCCATCCATCGAGCGATGGTGCTGTTGACGGTGTCTTGGGTCTTGTAAAAGACCAACGGATTGTTGTCCGTTACCCATCGAAATTGGCTTCGACCAAGGAGGAAGTGTCGCCACCACTTGAGCGCGTGGACAAAGGCGAGGAGTTCCTTCTTGCATGCATCGTCAATGGAATGCACGACGGGCACTTTCTTGCTGAAATACTCGACCGAATGCCAGTCCGCACCATCATGTTGCTCGAGGACTGCACCAATGCCATAGCCTGACGCATTCGTAGTGACGCGCATAGGCAAAAGCGGGTCGTATATCCGCAAGACCTCCGCAGACAATAGCGCGGCTTTGAGAGCCAATAATGATTCCTGCGCCTCCTCTCCGAAGTCAAACGGCCGATCCTCGCATTGAAGCTTGGTCAAGTGGGCCGCGATCTTCGAGTAGCCTTTGATAAAACGCTGGTAGTAGCCGGCGAGGCCAAGGAACGAACGACCGTCCGTGACGTTCCGAGGCTCCGACCACTCTTGGATGGCTTGAATCTTGTCCGATAGCGGGCTGATGCCCTCCGGTGTGACAAAATGACCGAAGTATTCCAGCTCTTGACGGACAAATTTGCACTTGTCACGGTTGGCCTTGTACTTGGCGCAGCGGAGCATCTCCAACACTCGTTGAAGATGCCCAAGATGATCCTCCAATGACCGGCTGTAGACGAGAATATCGTCTAAGTAGACCAGCACGAACCGGTCCAACATTGCACGAACTCATTGGTCATTGCCGCTTGAAAGGTCGCCGGGGCGTTGGTGAGGCCAAAACGCATGACCACCCACTCAAAATGCCCGTACCGCGTCTTGAACGCGGATTTGTAGCGATCGTTCGACCGGATCGAGATTTGATGATATCCTGATTTCAAATCCAACTTAGAAAAATACTTTGCGCTGCCCAATCGCTCAAGAAGATCGTCGATGCGAGGAAGAGGCTGAGCATTCTTGACGGTTTGCGCGTTGAGCTTGCGGTAGTCGATACACAATCGTGAATCCTTGTTCTTCTTCCGGACGAAGAGAACTGGTGCTCCATATGGGGAGCTACTAGGGCGGATCCAGCCCTTGGCCAACAAATCGTCGAGTTGTGCGCGGAGAACCTCAAGCTCCTCCTCGCTCATCCGATAGATGCAACCTTTTGGTGGCACGACACCGACCTCAAGAATGATCTCGTGAGAGATCGGCCGATCCGGCACCACACCGGTAGGTGACTCGAAGATGTCGGCAAACTCGTCCAGCAGCCGCACCACTCGGGGGTCCGAAGACAAGTCCGTGGGTGAAGCATCCCGCGACGGTCCGTAGGAAACATAGGCCGATCTCCTCGGGTTGTTTTAAGCGCAAGTCGCCCGGAATGATTTGCCCGTCACCACTTGGCACCAAATCGAAGGGTGCGATAGAGGAATAGTACATGCCACTTCCTCGCCGAAGGCGTCGCGAACGCTAAGAGTCCGCCGGTGGAAGTTGACCGTGTGATCCGCACTTGCAAGCCAAGGCATTCCCAGAATCATGTCAAAATCCGTGTCGAGAGTATCGAATGTCACCGGTTCGCATGCATGAGGTGCGAAATAAACCGGTACGGCCTCGATGTAACGGTCGAGAAGTTGCTGCGTCTTTCCATCCGCCAACTTAATAGCCGTCGGGTTTGCCTTCCTCCGAACTTGTGTGCCAAGGACAGCCCTTTGCATAAAGGATTGGCTCATGAAGTTGCGAGACGCGCCGCTATCCAGCAAAGCGCTGCAGGACACTTGCCCAACTTGAATGCGGACATACATGAGCGGTGCGTTGTTGTCATCGTACCGCTGCATGCGAAACTCGTGGGCCACCTTGGTAACATACGCAAGGATGTCCCCCACCGTGACTTCATCATCCGTCGACGAAATTGGTGGTTCATAGAAGGAAAAGTACGTGTGGAGATGTGCGCATTGCGGTCCTGGTAAGTGGCCTGTGGTCGGGAGAGGAAGCCATGCAAAGTCTTCGGACGTGAGCAAGTCCAATACCTCTATGTTGAACTCGCGCGCCAAATCCCATGAAGAACCACTTGAAGACAATAAGTCGCCGCTGCCGGACGGAGAAGATGTCGCACACACGTCTTGTCCTTGAGCTCGAGTATCCAGCGTAGGAACGAGCCGGGCAGCATAGTCCTCAAGAGCATAAAGAAGAGGAGGACTATTGACTTCCGCATGCGCCTCGGAATGAAGGTCGGTCACTCGCGAAGAAACCGGTTCCGGAGGCGTCGAGAGTCTTGTCGAGTCACTCTCGGCGGTGCTCAGTTTTCCTGTTTGCCCTTGCCTTTCAATGGGCAGGCCGGTGTCTGATGAAGATCCTTGTTGCACCATAGGCAATAGTGGAATCTCGTGCGCGCCTTGAATGCTTGCTCAGAGATGCCGTATTGGGACCAAGGGGCTGGAGCTGCTGCGCCGGGCCCGGGGCTAGGTGCGGTGTGTGTCTTCGTCTTGCCGCGTCCTCGGCCTTTGCCGGGGCGGCCACCTTCCCGGGCGACTGGGAGTCTGCCCCCTTCACTGGCAGACACAACCTCGCTGGTTTGGTCAAACGACGTTGCTGCGGCGACCACGGCCACTCTTGGCCGATGCTGGTCCCGGCTCGGGCCTGCCGCAGACGAACGCATGTTCTTAGCCTCCTTGTTCGTAATGATGATCTGCGCGTCCTTGTCAAAAAGTTCCGCCGTCGTCGTCAAGGTGTCCTCGACGTGAGTCAGGGCATTACTTAATGTCGGACATGACCTTGTGATGAAATAGTGGCGGATGGCTTTGAAGCCCATCTGGATGTTTGGGACTGACGTTAAGCGTTGGTACTCGGCGATCCAGTCGGTACTTGGCAGCGTGCCTTGCTCAAAGACCATGAGCTTGTCCATAGCCTTGATCTCAGGCGGCTCGACTTGGAACCGCTTACACCACGACGCCTTCAGATCATCCCAACTGATCTTGGTGTGCAAGTCGGCAGCTACCACTCCGTACTTGGACAAGAGATTGTCCAACCAAGCCTGGCACGCGCCCCCTGAGCGAGAGTACAAGTATGCATGGTGCTTGTGTTTTTTGGCGTTGTGTAGCTGCAGCGTGAGCTCGATCTTGCAGAACCATGGGATCGGATCTGTCTTCATCGAGTCGCAGAAGATCTCCTGCCCGTCAAACTTTGGAGCTGTTTCGCGCAGTTCCGGACTCAAGGTGTTGGCTGCGGTACAAATCTGTTGTTCCAACTGTTGCGTCGCGGTCTGCTGTAATTGCACGCCATCCTTAAGTGAGCTGACGTCCATCTCCAATGCTTCGAGGCGATCAGAGGTATTGGAAGAGCTTGCATCGAGGGTGGCGACAGGTAGCTGCTCCAACTGTCAGAGGCGGTTTTGGACTTGAGCCAGCGAGTCGTCGAGGCTGTGGATATCCTCGTGCTGCGTAATGCATGTTGCCAGCAGGTCCGTGAGATGGGAGAGGAGGAGAGCGATCTTGTTTCCGCTATCCTCCAACTTGCCATTCTTGGCCTCGGTCCGCCATTCCGCTGCCATTGTGAGCAAAGTATGCTCTCCGCTAAATATCTTCTCACGACGTTGAGTTCTTTCTTCATCGGCAGCCCTTGCTGCTGCCTCGTCATGCTGGCGCTGTTGTTCAAGTGCCAGCAGACATGCCTGCTCGGCGTCCTCTACCTTCTTCTTCGTTGCTGCTGCTGCGTCATCTGCCCGTTTCTTTGTTTCGGTACTCCAGGCCAGCATCTGGGCGTGATAGGCCTCGTCTGCTTCTTCGGACCTCTGGTCCATGACGGTTGTTTGTGAACGCAACAGCATCGAGGTCGGGGCCTGCTGACGTGGTATTCCCTGCTGCTGACGTGTCCTGTTGACGTGTCCTGCTGACGTGGCCTGCTGACGTAGCCTGCTGACGTGGCCTGCTGACGTGGTCTGCTGACGTGGCCTGCTGACATGGCCTGCTGACATGGTCTGTTGACGTGGCCTGCTGACGTGGCGACTCACCAATGCCACCGCAGGGGGTACCCGGAGACAGGTAAGGCGAGAGGTGGCAACAACATATGTGGGGAGGTGTGGGTAGGATAATCGCCCAGATAACGCCCAGATAAGGAGCCACTAGTCAAAAAAGGAAAGTATGAACTTCACGAATTTTTTTTTGAGAAAAAATAAAAATTTCCATTTTTGCAAGTTGAGTAGGCCTCCAAACCTCCTTTGAAGTGCGAAACTTATCAATGCGAAAAAATTTCGAACTTCAAACTGCAAATGATTTATAGAACTGACTAACAGAATCTTAGAACTGCGAAAAAAAATTTCCGAAAAATAACAAGTATTCGGATTTACTTAGATGAGGGTGATAAGTATTCGGATTTACTTAGATGAGAGTATTCGCAGTTTGGAAATTAATACCTGCAGGAGGGATTTCCCGTACCGTTAAAAAAAAAAAAACAATTCCGTAACAGAAGATATTCTGAATTTCCAAGTAACGGGAAATGCAACAGGAAATCGAAATTTTCGAAAAGAAGATATTTCGGATTTTCAACAACGAAATTTCGAATTTTCAGAAGAAAAACGAAAATGGAAATTTCAGATGTTGCGCTATTGCGATTTTCTACAACAGAATAGCAAGAAAACAAAATCCAAGAAAAGAAAAAAAAAATTGATTTTCGGTAGTAAGGTCAAAATCATGATTTGGGGGGCTAACTAGTGTGCTCTAATCAATCAATAAAGACTAATCAGCTACCTAGTCCCCGCACACGTGTCAGATCAGGTTGTCCTTATTCACGTGCGGTGCACCGATACCAACTGTTACATGCCCAGATGGGCGATGTACATAATAATCGAGGATCCGCAATGTGATAAAAAGGACTGAATGGACAATGCAGTGCAAGTAGAACCTCAACAAGCAATTTGCATTCTGGTACATACAAAATGATGCTGAATCGCGCAGGGAAAACTTAGATACAAAGCCTGACTTGACCGGGACGGACCTCGTTCACATAGTACAAGGTAGCGAAGCAGAATGCTAGAATGCTAATGACTAGCCCAATCAATGTTTGAACGCAGACCAAACATACATCGTGTCCATCACAAAGTGTGAAGG